TATATACATACACACACACACACACATACTTACTTTTACTTTTTTTTTTTTTACTAGGACTCTTAAGTACTAAAGTCATTTTGTTGTACTTTATAATGTTTGTTTTTATGTGTAAAATTATAGATTTGAGCTTTAGTATGAACAATGTTTTAAAAAAAAATATGCAAAACCATTTGTTTACCAGTCATAACATTAAAATAATTCTCAATATTAGCCGACATGTAGTGCATCTTTAGTCGTGGTGCATGTATGCGAGTGATGCAGCAGTGAGACACCAGAGAGCGATAAATGAGATGAGTGCTTTCCTCCTGCTTTTAAATCACTGTGAGACAGCAGGAGACACGTCTCCTCCCCCATCTGTCCACACACACACACACGCGTGGCACATGGTGGGGTTGCGTCAAGTCGCCCTGTGAAGAATCCAGGGCAAACGATCCTCCGGAGAGCAGCAGACATTATTCATGAGGCCATGTGTTTGTGCACTTAATTGATTCCATATTCAAGCACGCGACCCGGTTTGCTGCAGTATGTAGCACTGAATTATTGATAGGGTTCACGAATGTGAGGCGACTCAGACGGGGAGAATGAGAAACACAGATGTGAGAATTAAAGGAGACAGATCCAGTGCTGTGAACTGCTGTTTGTTTGTTTCGTGTTGGACTGAATCGTTTCAGACAGCTGGTGAAGTGTGTGTTTTGAAGAAGGTAAAGCTCGCAGTGTGTTAAACTCAAGTCTTGCATTACAGGAACAGCCTGTTGAGGAGGATTTGAGAAATCTGATGTTGCCTTTTTCTGTGTTTTTGCTTTGTTAAGTGATCAATTATTGCAAAAGTAGTGAGACTTTGCTGGTTGTGGAGAAGAGCCGTTGTTTTAGTGTTTAACATGACAAGAAACTCACATGAAGTGAGTCAAACCTTTGAGTGGTGACCACATCAGCCGGCATTACTAAGGCCATGATTAAAATATAATATAATGAAATAATAAAACGGTTGTTTGTTTGTTTATTGCAGGTGTAGATGAATAAATGTTTTATTCATATTATTTATTTATTTATTTATTTATTTATTACATCAACATATGTAAATAAATTAGATTATTTGAATCAATATTTATTTATTTATTTATCATTTCATCACCTGCTCACCAATGGATGCTTGTGTCATGCCGGTGGTCAGTGCGTCTGGTTAGAGAGACACTGCTGTTGAACTCCATCAGTGTATCTTCAGTCTGTGTGGTTGTGCACCGCTGACTGACTCAAACGAAACCGGGCTCGAGAGAGATTTTAGCCTCTCTCTCTCTCTCTCCGTATGTCAGGCTGAGAGCACGAGTGAACATGCTTGTTTTTTCAGATTTAGTACAAATGATATTGTGTGCAGAACAGTTTGAGAGGAGAGTATGTGGTGGAGTGACATGAACAGCATGATTTCAGGAGTTGAACTTCAATGTAACCGCTCTAAACAAATATGTTGGTGGATTTTGATGTGAGAGGACAACAGGAGATGGAGTTTTTCACTGGATGAAGCGTTATTATGGATTATGGACTTGTATTTTAGCCAGAAGCAGTGGTTTGAAGTTAAAAACGTCTTAATGATTGATTTGTTTCTTACAAACACACAGCTTTTCACTTCACAAGACACTGAAGAGAATAGTCTCGGAGTCTCTGTAGAGACTCACGTCGCTCGAATGCTCATGTCTCTGGAGGACATTATTGACCCCGTGACCCATGAGAGTCCTTCACGCCCAATGACTGTCATCTGGAGATGATGAGAGTATTGAAATACTGTCTAAAGAGAAAGAAAGAACAGGAAGGATTTGATTAAATAGTTTTGTCTGCCACTTATAAGGCACTTGGCAATTATTTCATCATATGTTTTTCTTGATCTTTTGAAGTAAGTGTATCTTTCAGCAGAACAGCTAATCATGAGAGTAAAACATGGTAAAACTCATTTAGCACTGATTGACTCATATCATGTTTTACATACGTGTGCGTCTTAAAGGTACAGTAGCACAAACAGACGGTTTAATTCTAAGGATCGTAAGAATTGTGGAAATGATCATGAAAAGTAAAGTATGCATGGAAAAAAGTTCAGTTAGTCCATAAAGTTACCTTCAGCTCCGGAATCCAGCAGGGCCTGGCAGTTGTGGATTCCGGCTGCCCATTGCAGTCTTACCGGGAGGAGAGTTGAGGACGAGGATTTTCCCAGGGACAATCCACCCGACAGTAACCTCAGCTCTACTGCCGGGCTTGACCTTTTACCTGACAGTCAGCCAGGAAGTGACCCGCAGCGCCGCAGTACAAACACAGTCCCCTTGCTCTCCGACGGTCTCTCTCCTCCCGGGAAAGCCGAGCTCTTCCCACCTGCATGGGTTCAAAATCCGAGGTGTGACTGACCGTATTACAGGAACTGGTAGTGGAATACTCAGGAAGTTCCGACGCCAGCTGGCGGCGTCCTCGCTGATCACGTTGATGTAGACGGGCATCTACCCGAAGAGCTAATTCGATGAGTCCATCAAGATCAGTGGGTAATTCCATCGTAAAAATCTCCTTCTGAATCCGGTCAGCCAACCCATGCAGGAACATGTCCCACTGCGCCTCCTTGTTCCACTTGCACTCAGCTGCCAGTGTCCGGAACTCAATGGAATAATCCGAGACGGGTCTGTTTTCCTGCCGTAGATCGGCTAACATGCGTGCCGCCTCGCGACCCGCTACCGCGCGATCAAACACCCGTCTCATCTCCTCCGCGAGATTGTGGAACGAAGAGCAGCAAGGATGTTGGTTCTCCCACACCGCCGTTCCCCACAGAGCTGCCCGTCCCGACAGCAATGTCAAAACTAAAGCCACCTTGGACTGTTCGGTAGAAAAAGTCAAAGGTTGCAGAGAAAAGAACATGGAGCATTTAGTTAAGAACGCTCTACAAAGATTGGGCTCACCAGCATACACTTCTGACGGCACCCATTCACTGCAGAGCATCCATTGCTGAGACACTGATGCAATGCTACATTTCTACAAACCTGATGAAGATACAAACTCATCCTGATCTGGGATGACCTGAGAGTGAGCACATTTACAGCAGATTTTTAAATTTTTGGTTTATACAGTTAAATTAGAAACAAAATGTCTGTATTTATTATAATGTCATTGCAGGAGTGTTAAATGTGTCACGGGTACAAAAGGAGGATTCAATTGCGAATGTGAAATATAACAGTTTATTAGGAAAAGGTCCCAACCAGACCAAAGGCAAGAGTCAAACAAGGCATGTGCAGGATATAGTCACTCTTGGTAGCGCAGGGACGCAAACGGGCACCCGTGGATATCCCGAGAACATCCGATCCTTGGGGGCGAATCCTGGAACCGAACTCCAATGAGACGACAGACAGGAACAGAGAACTGAACACAGCAGGAACACCAAACGATCTGACAACACAGGACGGATAGCACAGGTGTTATATAGCTGAGCTGATGAGCTACAGCTGGCGCAGATCAACAATCAGCAGCAATCACCGACACACCCACTCACACACACATATACATACAGAGCGAAAATGAGTCAGTGAACCCATGAACCGTGACAGTAACAATGTAAAATGTATCTGTGAATCCTGGAAAATAAAATGTATCACGTTTTCCACAAAAATATGAAGCGGCACAACAGTTTTCAATATTGATAATAATTAGAAATGTGTGTTGAGCAGCAAATCACCATATTATACTGATTTCTGAAGGGTCATGTGACACTGAAGACTGGAGTAATGATGCTGACAATTCAGCTTTGATCACAGCAATAAATTACATTTTACACTATATTCACATAGAAAACAGTTATTTTAAATGTAAAAATATTTCACATTTTGTTCAGTTTTTACTGTATTTTTGATCAAATAAATGCAGCTTTGGTGATCAAAAGAGGTTTCTTTCAAAAACTTTAACAAATCTGACAGACACCAGATGAGTGATCGTCTGTTCTTTGGATGGTAGTGTACAGTATAAACATAGTGGCACATAATAAATGAATACATAAGCTTGGATACTCTTCTTGATGACTAATTAAATGTAAGTAAATGAGCATCATTGATTTTGTGCTCATATATCTATGCATCATAAATCTATTGCAGCTCGATTTGATCCAGGCTGCTTTTGTTGGTCATAGTAAATCCTCTTACAGGCTGCTATTGTTTAACACAAAGGCCTAATTTATCTGCACAGCCGTTTCTTCGCTGTAAAGTGTGTGTATGTCAGTGTAATACTCTCTCTCACTCAGTAATAAAGTGTAATAAATTCCTCCACACTCTTACAGCCTTTTCTCCCTCTTTCTGTCTGCTGATTACCGTAGCGGCTGCTCTAATTAACTCTGTGTGTGTGTGTGTGTGTGTGTGTGTGTGTGTGTGTGTCACGAGCAGCTAGAAAAGCTCTGTGTAAATCAGGAGCTGTTGCAGCAGGTTCTTCTGATGCGCTTACATTTCAAGGGTGAAATCCAATCTCACAGGCGTCTGTGTGTGTGTTTACATAGAGTTGTTTCCTTCAGTTTATATTCACTATCAAATGCTGTTCATTCACAGTCACTGTTTACTAGTCTTTTGTAGTCAGACTTTTGACTACATCCATCCATTATATACTGTATATATGTATAAAATGTATATGTATATTATATGTATATGTATATATGACTTCCACACTCTGCTTGCCTCTTTTGATCTCAAGCGAGTGTTAACTACGGCTACTCACAAATCAGGCAACCAACTGGACCTTATTTACAGACGACACTGCTCCACTGATCATGTGCTGGGTACTCCACTGCACACCTCGGATCACTTCCTCCTCACTCTTAATCCTCAACATGGTTCCTGACACAACACATACCCCTACACATGTCACTTTTCGACATAACCTATACGCTCACTCTCACCCAGTTGTGATTGATGATAAGCTGAATTTCTCAGACCACATTGCTAAAACTGCCCGGTCCTGCAAATTTGCTTTATACAACATTAGGAAGATCAGGCCTTTTATTTCAGAACATGCAACACAACTCCTTGTTCAAGCTCTTGTTCTATCCAGGCTGGAGTATTGCAATGCTCTCTTGGCAGGTCTATAGTATAGTATATACTACAGTATATACACCTTGCTACGTGTACTGCATTAGGCTAACCGAGACTTGTCATTTGCACATATATATTGTTGCTCTTTTGTTAGTTTTGACTGTTTTTATTGTCCTGATTTGTAAGTCGCATCTGCTAAATGACTAAATGTAAATGTAAATATATATGTGTGTGTGTGTGTGTGAATTGCAAGTATAAGTATATGTATAAGTAAATAATGTTAAAAAGTATAATACATTTATTTACATAATATAAATATAAATATTTAAATTTTACTTTTTATTTGTTTACTTTTTTACTGATAAATAAAAAGTTAAAAAAAATAAAGAATATAAAGAAGTAAAATAAGCAAATCAATAAATAATCATAAAATTAAATAAAATAGTGTAAGTTAAATAAAACTAAATTCACTTATTTTACTTTTTGTTTATTTTACTTATCAATAGAAAGTAATACAATTAATAAGTAAAATGGGTAAATAAACAAATAAACATACAAATAAAAGTGAATAAAAAGTAAAATAATATAAATGTATGTACTTTTTTACTCTTCATTTACTTATTTCACGTATAAATAAAAATAAAAAGTAAAATAAGTAAATTAATATATAACAATAAAATAATGTAAAATAAGTAAATAAATAATAAATATAAAAGTAATATAAATATTGTCATATAAATATAGAGTAATTTAGATTTATTTACATATTTTACTTTTTTATCATTAAATAAGTCAAAATTAATAAATAATAACAAAACAATGTAAAATACGTAAACAAATTAAAAGTAATAAACAAGTAAAACAAATAAAAATAAAAATAAATAACCAAAAAGTAAAATAAATAGTCATATATATTTACTTATTCATTTTACTTTTTGTTTTACTTATTTAACTTTTATAAGTGAAATAAGTAAAATGAGCAAATTAATAAATAATAATAAAATAAATTAAGTTAATTGACTTTTTAGAGCTTAAATTTAGAGCTGAATGGAGCTGAATGTTTTTCCAGCGGAGTCCTGCAGAATGTACAGCAGTGATGTGTGAAGAGTTATGTATCCAACCAGATTTTCTGTCTGTCAGAAAGACATTCTGATATTGAGAACGGTTTCTTGAGCAGAAACGTCTCTTTACAGGTCAGATTTTACAGGCAGATGATCAGCACTTCTGAAGAGTGTCTGTCTCTCACTGGATTTTTCATCTCTTTGGACAGTTTAGGGCTGAATAACGAAATGATGGACAGCCGTGAGACGCGTGTGATCATCTATGAGATGCCGGATCAGTCTTCACCTCCTCGGGCCCTTCGCCCGCTTTATTAATGATAGCGTAATCATCTTGTCTTGCGTGCTGGAGTTTAATTTCATTTCCATCAGATGTCTTTAAACGCTCATCCTTTACTCTGCTGCTAAAGAACCATCATTCACTCTCAAATCTCTGATTCAACAAACTCACATCGACATCTGTTCCTCCGGATTGAGTCCACACTGACTAAGAACCGCCCACTTTCACAGGAAGAGAGGCTCTGGTTTAGGGATGGGCATTTTTCAAAAATACTGCATTTGAATTTTTGGGCTCATAAAAAAAACGATTTATCGTTGGATTTATCATGGATTCCCTGCATTTACGGCCAGCAAAGCCACTTTTTTTATTGTTTTTATGTGCTGTTAAGGATCCGATAAATGTGAAATAGTTGATATAAAGGACAATGCGGTGCATGACTTGATGACAAACAGTTGATTTATTGGAAATATACACTCACAGAGATGTGATAATATGGTCATAGTGCAACAAATGTCTCTTTAATGTACATTGTAAGCGAATCACAATCTGAGCATCTGAGTTTGGGTCTTTTTAAAGGGATTTGGGTTAATGTTCAATCTTGTACAATAAAACATGTAGTCCTTTTTGTAGTTCTTTTTTGTTTATTAATTTTTATTTTTAATTATTATTGTTGTTTATAATATTTTTTGTTTGGTATTATGTTTGATATTGTTAATATTATTTTATTATTTATTAATATTTGACTATTTATTGTTTATTTTTTTGTTTAGTTATGTTTTGTTTTGTTTTGTTTTATTATGGTGTATAATATTTTATTGTTTAGTTTATTTTTGGTTATTTCATCTTTTAATAATATATTTGTATTGTTAATACATTTTTAAGGTTATATGTTATATAATGTATTATTATTTGTAGTATTTTATTTATTAATTTATTTGTATTATTGTTTATACAATTTTAGTGTTAAGTCATTTTAAATTGTAATTTTTTTTACAATTATTTATACTGTTGTATTGTTTATTTTATTTATATATTACTTACATAGCTTCAAATCTAATGTTTTTATTATATTATATTTTAATTATTTTATGTGAAAATTAAAACTCCAGGGTTTAACCACATTGAAATTGTAGTCAAATTGTAAACTTATTGTTTAAATATGACAGACATATATATATATATATATATATATATATATTTATAATGTATTATCAATAAATTATTTACTAAAAATTAATAAAATTATTAAATATATTATTTAATATTATATGTTTGTGTTAGTTATTAATATTAAATTTTTTGTGAATAAATAATGTATTAAATATTATATGAATGATATATAACATGTTATTAATTAATAATAGTCACAGCAATCAGCTTCTGATATAAGAATCATCGAGCGTGGCACAGCGATGCTTCCGCTGGTCTAAAGTCATGATGGAATTAGTGAGTTCCAGTCGGCACAGAATAAATCCTCCTGCACTGAGATCTAGTTAAAGCAACTCACTAGGATTTGGAGCCGATCCACAGTTTAACTAGATTATCGAGAGCCGGTTATTGAGTTTAGTACGGGCCGCTCTTGTCTCTTTCTCTGAGTGTCACGTCAGTGTCTCGCTCGTCTGCCGGCTCAGCTGAACTGCGCTCACAGGAAGTGATGCGTCGACACAACAAAAGGCTTTGGGTCGAGTCCACTTTACTTTGAAACTGTAGCAAGTCAAACTAGAATCTTCTGCTGATTTAAAGTCGTTCAACTAGTCGAGCTGTTCTCTTGAAAAATGACACTGAAACTATTAAAAGGAGCAGTGTCTTTTTAAACGTATAGCTATCACGTGATGCAATTGGGTTTTATTTTCAATCAGAGCAGTATTTAACAGGACAAAATCAATGGCCATCTTTGTGCGGGTAGATGTTAATTTT